CCTTCCTTCCTTCCTTCCTTCCTTCCTTCCTTCCTTCCTTGTTCTAATTCTAGTTCTAATTCTAATTCTAGTTCCAATTCTAGTTCTAATTCTAGTTCTATTTTCCTTCTCACTTGTTCACTATTCTTTTTTGTTTTCTTTGTTTCTTTTCTACATTTGTATTGCTTTTATCTTGTTAAAATTTTCTTTAAATATATATATGTATGTATGTATATATAATGGGGGGGGGCATGCAATAACATTGCTAACCTGTGGGATTCACTGCCACAAGGCCACTAAGACATTTTGAGAGAAGATTGGTTAAATGTTTCAAGGACAGGTCTACTAATCTCATGATTTACATTGCCTTCCCATTGTGGGTAACATGCCCCCCCAATAGCAGTTTAGGGGTACAATCAAAACATCAAGATCTTTTATTATGATCATGGATTGGAAAATTAAAATTTAAAGTATAAATTACAGAATAAAACTAAATTTATTTGAGGGGGTCAGCTGACACTGTCTTCACTGCTTCCCACCAATAGGTGACAACTCTCCTTGTTATAAATTATCAACTCATCTGTTTTGCCTGGGAATCGTTGGAGGACTGGTGTTATATGGTACTTTTGGAGAAATCTATAGTAATTACAGTAAAGGAGGACATGGTTGACTCTTTCTATTTCTCCAGAATCACATGGATGTAATCTTTCATGTTTAATTATATCTGCCACAGAGAAGAGCAGAAGGTAATACATTATGTAGAGCTCTGAAGAATTACAGTTTGCAAGTTTCCAGGTGTTCATGGTGATGAGCCTTCTGGAGCTCTGTGTTAGGCAGCTAATTTTGGTTTGTAATTCTACACCCTCCAGCTTTTTAGGGGTACAAAAGAAGGAGAGGGGTAGGCCTGCTTTTAAGCACTCTAGTTGCCTACTTGGTAAGGTAGATCAAGGAAGAGGAGTTTGATCTGTGTTGGCTAGATAGGAACTCAACCTGGAATCATCAACCTGTGGTTGATACCTTTGCATTCCCTGGAGCCAGGCATTACCCACTGGGGAAAAAAAGCGGGGCGGGGGGCTTTTGTAAGTTTGTATTACAAATTAATAAAGGTAAAGCCTATATATCTTGGTAGGCCTGAGGCCCAAGCTAGTCACCAGGTCTAGCAGAAACAGAAGACCTGTTCTCTGAGTATTGTACATTTATTCCTGAAGATGTCAGATCTGGCTATGGTGACTCATGATTTAGTTCCATCATACTTTGATTACTCTTATTTATAATGATAATGATAATTATAAATAATAAATATTATTTATAATTTATACATTATTTATAATGTAAATATAATACTATAGGCAGTTTTGTGTTTCAAGGGTTTGGGTAATTCAGATAGTCTAGATTACTGTGTCCATACTATTGTACAGATTAGTTATAGAGTGTGACTTTCTTGTTAAAACAGTACAAGTGGCAACTACTCTAAACAAATTTCAAAGGACTATTTACAAAACCCTATATAACCAGACCCAAATTACCTGAATTGACTATGACTTTTTAAAAATATTTAGAAGAAGAATCACTCATTTTTAAAGGAACAGAGTAAGAAATACTTCTTGGTTCCTTCAAAATACCAAATACTTCTTGGTTCCTCCATTTTCATTTAGCACAGACATACTGCTGCCCAGTCAAGATATCCAAATGCCTTTAAGGAGATTACCAGCACTTCCTATCAGGGGAGATAAAGAAGCAAACTTCACAATTTTTCTTCCCCAGGCAGTTTATATATATCAGTTATTGTTAGGATGTTTATTCAATGGCTAAACTCAATGAAAAACAGCAAAAGACATTTCTTCCCACTTCACCCCCCCTTCCAAAAAAGGTGGGTATAAAAATGACTACATATTTTGCCTACTGTCTCAGAGTTGGAACTGGCAGACCATTTTTTTAACGGAAGATGGAGAGCTAGGAACGGATATGCACGAACACATCCATGCCATCCCTATTGTCTTAGTGTTTTTAAAATTTAAGTCTATAGATTTATCTTCAATTTACATCACACTTTTATTTGGCACAATTTATATGCAGTAGGAATTCAGATTAGCTTTTCCAACCCCAACTTAAAAAAAAAAACCTCTGCTTGATTATTTCAGATAGTATTTTTAAGAAATAAGCAAGGTAAAGCCTTCATCTTAAGGGGAAAATCTCTTTTCCACCCTAGTTGTTTATTTACATGGATTGGCAATTGCTTAAGAACAGGAAACAAGCTGATTGCTTCTACTTTCTAACATGCATGTTGTTTTTCTGCTACCAGATGTTCAAAGCAGCCTTCCTGTTGTAAAAATTATCCTGCAAGGCTGACCAGTGTCTGAATGTCTTTATTAGTCAATTAGTCTCTTCCTGCTACTTCTTCCAAGGGAGTCCTGCTGCCTGCGAGGCCTCCCCTTTTCAATGCAAATAGTTTTTCCATTCTTGCTAACAATACGATTAACTCTTTGTACTCCCTGATCAGGTAATTAGCTTCCTATTGCCATCATTAGATTTACTGCATGCAGCTTGGGGAGCAGGAAGTACCCCTCATTCCGGCACACAACCTTTTACTGATAGGAATGCACAAATGTCACTCTCGTGATCGACTGCCCTGCTACCCTTTCCTGGCCCCCTATGGGAGCAGGGAGCCCAGGACTATTGGAACCCTTACAGGCACATCACAGCAAAGCACCTCTCCTGCCACATCTGTAGCGGCTGACTGGGATGAGAACTCCCGTGTAAGTACTGCATGTTGCTTCTGCTACATAATAAAGCTTTGTATGTTGCTGTAATTCTGGCATCTATGGTCCATTTTATCTCTGGGATTGCCCTTGGTGGGCAGCTATTACCCTCCATAAACTTCCTCAAGGTGATGCGCTCTAGTGGTGCTAGGACTGTTCCTGGCTGAGAATTCTTAAGGTTTGTAATCCCAACTCTGGTGTTGGGGCTGAAATTGGCAACACTGGAAGAGTCTGCAATGCAGAAGCCCCTTATCAAAACCCTTTGCAGATGTCCCCAACATCCAAGGCTGAGAAATGAATGGCAAAATGCAAGAGCCGGAGAAAAAGCTCACAAGTGAATGTTTGCATTCCTTTGATTATGCACCATCAGATTGGCGTTGACTTTTGGTGACCTCATAGATGTTCTCCTGGATGACCTTTTCCCAACCTGGCCCTTCAGGTCTTCCAACAGTGTCCCATCACTGCTGTAATTGAGTCCATCCACCTGGCTGATGGCCATCCTCTCCATCTACCTTATGGTCTTCTCAAGGGAGCTAGGTCTGCATAAAGTGTCCAAAATAACATAATTTGAGCCTGGCCATTGGCATCTCAAATGAGAGCTCTGGATCCATTTGTTATTCTCTTGGCTATCCATGGTACTCTCCAACACCAACATTCTATATAAATATGATAAATAGGTAAATAAATAAAGCATTCAGAAGCATCAATACTCTTTCTATCCTGCTTCTACAAAGTCCAGTTTGCATTCCTAGAGAGAGATTTAGTGTCCTATCCCATCAGGAGGGCATCATCTGGAGAACATTAGATGCCTGGATCCAGTTGATCTTTATTTATTGGTGGGATACATATTTATTGGTGGAATATCTATGAAACAAAATAATGGCAGCTGAACAGGACAAATTCAAACGCATGCCCCCCTTTCGCCTTACAAATATTTAATCTAGAGCCAGTAGCCTCTCTTCAGAAGTGTGTATCTCAAGCGTTTGCTGCGAGAGACCAATGCAGTATTTCTCCAGGAAGCTGTTACAAATGGTCTCGGAGCATCAAAGTGAGCCAAAGGAAGGGGAAACGCTATAATAAATATATTTGCCGCTGAAGCGTGGCAAATCTCTTTGTTGTAAAGCCAAATGAATTGGCGTCTGGAAAATCCCAAAGGTCTACGGTATTTTTAAAAGGACGTGGAAGCATTTCTAGGATCAGCCACTAGCGGGTGATTTTCGGAAGACGCAGTTCTTGGAGCCAAAGGGAGTTGGAGGGACGAGACGCCAGCGTTTCCCCCTTTTCTTTTTTTTAACGCGGCAGTGTCGCGGGGACAGCGGGCTTCCTTCGGGCAAACTTTCAGAGGCCAGTCAGGGCTCGTCCTCCAAGACTAATCCAAACCACCTTCAGCTGGATCGGAGTCGGAGCAGAGTGCAAGCTTTTTCCTGGCTACGCTTGCCTTCAGTCGTGCCCTCTGGGACCAGCCTACACAGGATGGGCAATTCATGAGTTTCTCTCTCGCGCGCGCGCACCCACCTACCCACCCTCCCGCCGTCTCTCCCTGCCCAGAAGGCAAGCTTCTGGAAAAATCCGCCGGCTCCCTCCGCGGAGAAACAGGGGCTTCCTCTGGTGCAGCGCTCTCGGCGAGCGGCCGCGGCCGCCTTCTGGGCAGGCGGACCCGGCGGGCGGGGATGGCCGTCCCCTTGAGTTTTGCTGCTAGTGAGTCACTCGCGGGGGTCACCCGCTTCTCGGGGATGTCTGTGACACCCCGACGGGGTTCCGCCGAACGCCCCCGAAGCGCAGCCCGTCGCTTTCTCCTTCCTCTCCGACCGACGGCGGG